TTTTTTTTTTTTTTATCCTTTCTCTGGAATGACTGGCTTATCTCCTTGTTTAGTTAAAATACTGTAGTTGAGTAAAAACTTCTTTGCTCTGGAGATTTTTTCTGAGGGAAAAGAAAGCAGGTCATGGGGAACTTCTTCGTGAAGTTAGCAGGGAAGGGAAAGGATGGGGCCCTCGGGAGCTGGACGACCCACTCCAGTTTGATCCTGCCATGTCATCAGCGGGTCCCTCTTGCCTAGACTAGAGTAAGACCATGGGTTGCCCCTGTATCATTGTCTGTGGAAAAACTTTGATCCCCCAGACTGGACCAGTTTCCAGCTTGTAGGCCCAAGCAAAGCCCAAATTGTGGTGGATTTGTTTTGTGAGTTATCCTCAAGTGGAAATCACAATTGTTTCACCTTAAGGATAGAGGTGTGTGTCAGCCACACTCACAATATAAATTGGATGTTATAAAAAAGCAAAATTTGAAAGAGTATTTTGTATTTATCTCTATCCCAACCACTTGCAAACTTGTCAAATTTGGATTTTCTTTAGTATATTATCATTGGTAAACGTAATATTATCTTTCATATCATAATAAAAGACATAATTTTATGTGAAATTTTTTTTTTAGAATGCTTTTGAAAGAAAAATCAGCCCATCTTACCATAATTGCAATAAACACCAATGAGATTTTTTAGTAAATAAAATATAAAAAAGAGAACTTTTTATCAAATGACGGTTTAGGCTATTTGGAGTCACGGACAATTTTGTATGTTTAAACCTTGCAAGTGTGTGGCATCTATTAAACATCAGGTCACGGACATGACAATGAACACCAACTACGACTTTATTGAGCAATGTGATATGTCACAATTGCATGTAAAATTAAATTTTTTAAAATAAATTATTAATAATACATCAAAGTAATATTGCAATTGTTAAAATTTATAAATTTAATATTTCAAATCTAGAGTCAAAATTTTAGAATGGACTAGATAGATTTATGGAATGGAACAAAGTTCATTATTATGTATCAAAAAATAATAAACTAATAACCGTAACAATTAAGACTTTGACTAGAAATTGTTGCTAATACTAAAATTGATTAAGAAATTAAGGAATAATGATATTTAAAAGGAAAAATGAAATAAAGTAGGCTCTTAATGGAATTGGCTCAAGCTGAAAACTGTGGAAAATATGCCTTTAGCTCTGAGTCTGACCTGTAGTTTGCAGGTGAGTCGTAGTAATCTGGGCTGTATTTTCTTAAGGTTGCTCCTCTGATTTTGTTGTGTACTAATTTATCCCAAGGCCACCGGACTCTTATTGAAGTAGAAAAGAGTAAATTGACCCCTAGTAGTTTCCATTCTTTGTCAGCTTTATCCTAATCCAATACACGTATCGCAGTCTGCAAAATGAGTTGGTTTTCCACTCATGCTCTCTGTAGTACGATCGAAACGAGAGAAATCAGTTGAGCAATGCTCTGTCGTGTGCCTTGCCCACCTCTTTCCTATCCATTATGTGAAACTTCCACGAATAGTCGTAAACCCCTTTATTTTTTTTTAATAAGAAAAGTTAGGATTGCATCAGTCAGCTTTTATCCAAAACTTTTGAATGCATTAACGATATGCTTCAAGCAACTTTATTATGGATGGACTTACTTGGATTTAGCTTTAATGACTGGCCACTGCTCAAATGCCCAATGGCGTGCATGCATGTGTCCAGTTCTCTCTGTTGTGACAATGTTCCCACCGCTGTGTTTATTTTTAACAACTGCAATTTTGATAAATTCATTTCATGCCTATGTACTCCATAAAAATGTTCATTTTAGGGTTACCATGAACACATGAAATTAACAAAAATTTACTAGTCAACTCAATATAGGAATAATGGAATTTAAAAACTGTACAAGCATATTTATACGCACTTGTAACATGTCTATTTTCATAAATCTTGTAAGGATCATTTGGATGAAGAAAAAGATGATGCTTATTCTATGACTTGTTTCCCTTTGTCAATTAAATTTGTGAAGATACTTTGCACTCCACTTGGGAAGCAAAAGAACTATACACAACACACCTGGTACGACTATGGCTGAAGATTGTCGTTAGATTACACCTCCGGAAGATGGATTATTAAAGGGGAAATTGCACTGCATGCCCTTTTTTTCCCTTTATGTTTTTATAGTTTAATTTTGTCTGTAAAGTGATAACATCAATCTTATTGTAAAGCATAGTATCTATAGCATTAATGTTTAAGTCCAGCTATGAACAGATAGATTATGGATAAGGGACACTGTTTAATTTATAACCTTAACCTAAGTTATTGGTTTCTTATTCTACCTCAGATTTTTGCAAGATCTCATAGACTATAAAACTTTAATTAGAACCAGAAGCATGGCCTTTTTTTTTTTTTATTGTTGGAACTTAGTGGATTGCTATCGGACTACTTGCAAGGAACAAGAGCACGAACTGGATTTCATGGCTGATGCAAAAAGATTTTTGTTTGGTTTTGTGGGCTATGTTGGGGGTTAGGGATGGATCCAGGGGGACATCATCGTATCTAATTGTGATCGGATGAGAACCAACTAAAGCACAGTGATCACATTAATTTATACATACTTTCAATTGATAAATATGAAATAAGATTTGAGTAAAAACAATATGATGTGAACAATAATATTCAAAATACCATGCTATTTTGTCACTTTGGTTTAAAACCACGTAAGTATTTTGTTTTGCTTGATCAGACACCATCTAAGTAGCTAATATAAGCAGCTTAATTATAGAATTTTTTTTTTCACGTGAGAAGATAGGCTGAATCACTTTAACATGGGAACGTCTATCAAACTGAATTAACCTCTTTAGTCTCAATTTAGAAATATTCAATCACTTTTAATTACTTGTCGAATCAATCAGCTACAAGATTCTCTCATTCTAACATGAATATCAAAAGTCCCTTACCAATCCAAGCATTTTGGACTGTGTATAAATTTACCAATCCAAATTTCAATATACAACAAAATTAAAAGAAAAAAAAAGAAAAGAAAGAAAATTAAAAACTTTAGCACGTTTTTTGGACAAAGATTTAGATTAAATTAATCAACAGTAACAAACATATGTAATATGATATCCAGGGAATATTTCGGCCACTTTGTCTGGTAAGTGGGCCCTTATCTGGGATTTGGAGACAGGCAGAGGCTCCTTGGATGCTCATATCTGGAAAAAGTAACGGATAAAATCAATGATCTGTTGAACACTACTTTAGTCGTTCTACTTTCCCTATATATGGTCTCCCCTCATTTGACTGCTCTGCCAAGCAAGTTTTATCCAAACTCTGCAAACTCTCTAAAAGCATGGATTCAGCTCCTTCTACATCCTTCCAAGATTTCCTTGGAAACTTTCACTCCAGAAAATTACTACCATACAAACCTCCTAGCCAACCATCAGTTACAGCAGCTCCTCCTCCTTACTCTCAGAATGCCAACTTAGATGAAAATGTTTTCATGGTACTATCAGTCCTCTTGTGCGGCCTAATTTGCTCATTGGGATTGAACTTCATTGTCAGATGTGCGTTTAGTTGCTCAGCCAGGGCGGCTTCCGAGTCCAATGACAACCCTTCAGCTGGAACAGTTAATAGAGGAATCGAGAAAGAAGCCCTGAAGACTTTTCCTGTGGTAAATTACTTAGCGGAAATGAAACTGCCAGGGCTGGACACGGAATGCGTCATATGCCTATCCGAGTTCGTGCCTGGTGAGCGCCTCCGGTTACTACCCAAATGCAACCATGGATTTCATGTTCGTTGTATTGATAAGTGGCTTAAATCACAATCATCATGCCCAAAATGCAGGCATTTTTTGGTTGAAACATGTCAAAAAATCATTGGGTGTAACCAAACTAGCTCATCAGAATCTCTTCTTCCAGCTCAAGAGAACGTTGTGAATATTCTGCCACTGGAACCTGAAGGTATGGTACGTGATTATAGGGGAGTTAGATAAGCGTGATTCTTTTCTTTTGGCCATTTGTGGAAAGCCCTCTGGCACTTTAATGGTCTTATCTTCCATATGGGAGCTCAACTTGGACTTTGAAAGGCACCCAACTGGCAACATTGATGTTCTTGCTGAAAGCGTAGACAAGTTCAATTTATCAAGCAAACTAAACTCGCCAAGGAAAAAAAGGCTGCAGTGGACAGAGTTTAAGCTGAGAATTGCCGTCACGATTTCTGTAGACATATGTGAATTAACTTGTTGCATCATCAGGACAGTTTCCCTGATGATGCTGCGCCTGATGTTCAACCTTGTAAACGCTCTTCACAATTATCAGTTCCATTATGAAAGATGTTTTCATTGAGCCCATAGGGTTTAGTGTTATTAAATTTTAAAATGCAATGGAAGGATCTTCCTCAGATTCCCTTCAGCTATTCTAGTGTAATGATCACCTGCCTCTTTAAGATATTTTGTTGTCTACTATTTGAATGATGAACTGATTCAAGTGGGACTATGTTTTACCACAGTCAATCTTTTCCACCGTCAAAAATTCCGTTAAGAAACACATGGATAATTGAAAGTTGATCAATGTCTAAAGTTGATCAATGGATAATTGGAAGTGAGGTTCAACTATGGCTAACCCTCGGTTTCGTTTTGATTGAGATTTTTTTTTATTTCGTTTTGATTGAGATTTTTTTTGAGGTTGCTTTTGTTCTTTTGGGTTGGTGATGTGTACAGTAGATGTTTTTCTTTGATCTTTTGAGGAGGTTTTTGGAAACATATATCAGATAAAATGAACTGATATATGAACTAAGGTTTTCTGCTTTAATGTGTAAGGAAGGAGGGGTTCATATCCCTGCACTATGAATAAACTTGATACCTTTGCTATTCAAAAAAAAAAAAACGGTTCACTCTCTCCTATTAGTGCAAAAGGGTAGTTAGAGATGCCTGATAAGAAAGGCACCAACAGACAAGCAAAAGGGAAAGCAAACAAACAACTTTAACCGTACTATGGAGACCGCATCATACTTTATCTTTAAACTTTCAAGACAAAATCAAACGAGAGATAAGAATAAGATACTGTAGCATTTGTTATTTTAGTTTATCTCAAAACTTTTTAATGACAATTTGCCAATTGAAATCATATGAAGCTAAGCTGTCTGGAAGCATCGTATTTTGCACCACCTCCACTGCAAACTTTGTCGCCTCATTCGGACCATGTTCTTGGTTGTGAATGAGTACAAACAACAAAGGAAGTAAATTAATTAAGAGCAAAAGAGATCTGAAATTTCACTGAGCCTACGTGCATGATAATGGGTATTGGGGCGGGGTTCTAATTCTCAAAGCGTTTGGCATAAAGCAACTTTCTGCCTTTTATTATGCTGTTTATGCAAATATCTCTTTCCAGCATTTGTTCAATTCATATTACCCCACTCACTGCTCCTTCTCTTGGATCCCTTTGAAACTTGGCTCCTCATGTGCATTGTTTAAATAAAAAATTAACACCATATGAAGCAAGTTCCAAGACCTGTATACAAATCCTCCTCAAACTTAAAACCACTGCTTTCTGTAAAAAAAAAAAAAGCTAATGCCGAGAACAGTGCCACATACATCAGAATTTGTTTACATTCAGCACATTGCAAGGAAAAATGATTCTCATTGACAAACATGTTCCAAAAGGAATATTTTTTCAATCAAATCCAATGTTACCCAAGTTCATAAAGTAAAACAATAACTTGCCCTCAAGGTATGTTCCCCATCGTATTCAAATTGACGATTTCGGATTGTGTGTAACTTGATCACCAAATACTTGGATGACAGTTCAAGTACGCAGCATTACTTGACCTTTGTGCTAATTAGCAGATGAGAAGAACCTAGCACAATCATAGTATAGTGTCTTTTCATATAGAAAGTTTACGGCCACTTGTACTGAATAATCTACTACAAAGTTTGCTCAGCAAATAACAGCACCGCTTCAGCTTTCAGCTAGTACTTAATTCCCACTTGTGAACTCCTAACCATACTCACAAAAACATTCTAGAAAATAGCTTGTGTGTAACAAGTAGTAGTATTTGTTTACTGATTTCTGAACAAAACGTGATTTTCCCTCTTTTCTCTCTTTCTCTGCCCAACCTTTGTGCAATCCAACCCAGAGGATATGGATTCATTTAGTGGTACATCTAGTACAAAACAAAAACAAGTGCTTCCCTTTAGATAACCCTATCCCTGATCTCTCAGTTTTATAGGAAACATAGTAGAAAAGTAAAAAGGAATTATCCCCCACACTTTTCATCTGACAACTTTTGTCAAAAATCCATAATATTTCCCTGTGCACGAAGTACTTTACATGCAATTGGTGGTTCTGAAGTATTAAGTGCAGTATCCAGATAGATTCTGATCGACCTTTTTTAACTTTGATTGCTTTCATGAAAGACCAATTTGACAATAAAATAACACGAGTGTTTTTGAAAGATCTCACTAATAATTCTGATTTAATTTTAGCCACAAGTAAAAGCTGATTTGTTTTGGTTCTTTTCCGGTGTGCAAATCGCAATCAGACTACTTGTATGGCAGGAAGCCAATCACCTGATCTCATAGCAAAATACACAAATTAAAGAACATGGGTTCTAGAAACCATTATCCTATCTAATTCCAGCAAGAGTAATTGGCTGTAGATTGCTGATGATCCACCAAAAAAATAATATAAAGTGCAAGTTATTAGTATTACTTTGACTGCTAAGACGAATTAACCATAGACAAAAGCAACTTGCATTCCAATATAGGAACATCATTGGCCTATCCCTTAAAGCCAGGACTGCTGAGCTAATTTCGTTGTGAAACATTTGTTAATTTCTGGTTGCAAGCCTGTCCTGCATAACAGCATACAAGTTGATCGAACAACTATGTAAAAGCTGCAAATTATTTCTCCAAACAGCTAATTTGCTGGCTAGAAACCAACTCCACTACTGTACCTATCATGATCCTTAAACGAATTCAAAATAATATTTAACATTGTGCTTGGTGATAAGGTGTCATCAGGTTAATTAACATAACTTGTTCCGCAGATTCCAGAGTGCCCTATGTCCACAGATAATTGTTATAACAGCAGTGAAGATTAATTTGCAGATTGGAAATCCAAACTTGGAAAGACAGACAACATAACATTTATGTTGATGGTACAGCTAGCATAGAGTTCATATCCTTAATAGCTGAACTGGTTTTACCAGATAACTCTACAAAGATAGAAAATCCAGTCTCTGAGAAAACTTTGACCTATATCAGTTTAACAAGATTATTCAATAATTCAATAGAGAAGGCATGATAAAGAAATTAAAAATCTGTCCTCTTGTGTGCTCTTGAGTTTCTAAAGTCATCTTTAGTGTGGCAAAGGTTCATCAGTTAATCTCCATTCCCAGATGACTGGCTAGTGGCTACCTACTTGAGCTAATTCCATGGATAGGAACAATGAATGGAGACTGCCACATGGCACCTTTTGCTCTGCAGGAAAGTTAATTGCCGTTTCCAATTAGAAGATTATATGTTGAGCTATAAATGGCTTAATTACTGAGGATCAAACTTGTCTTAGTCCTAAATAAAATCTTGGAGTGGTTTAATTACCCTCAACACCCTCAAGAAATATTCTCATATATGCTTGGCAAGCTGGCTGGTTTGGCATAATTTTATATTATAAGGCTCTGACCCACCTTTTCGGTATATATAATCCTTCAATCAAACCAACTCCTAGATCAAGTAGTGCAGCCATCAGAAGAACTAAACACTTGGAAAATATGTCTACTTCCTCAAAGCCCACCCAATTCTCCCAAGATTTACTTGAAAACTTTCACCCAAGAAAATTTCTCCTACATTCCTCTCTTTACCAAACAGAAGCCCCCGCAATTTCGCCAGCACCAGAAAACAGTTATGCCATCACGAACAACTTCGATACAAATGTCCTCATTGTGATATCGATCCTCATATGCAGTTTGATTTCCTCTTTGGGGTTATTCTGTATTGTCAAGTGTGCACTTAAATGTTCAAGTTTAGTTGCTGCTGAACCTGATGCGAACCCTCCATCAAAGTTAGCAAATGAAGGAGTTAGGCAGAAAGCTTTACAGACCTTCCCAACTGTAAAATACACATCCGAGTTGAAACTACCAGGCTTAGACACGGCATGTGTTATATGCTTGTCAGAATTTGCTGCTGGGGAGCGTTTGCGGATTTTGCCAAAGTGCAACCACGGATTTCATACTCATTGTATCGATGAATGGCTTAGCGCGCATTCTTCATGCCCTACATGCAGGCACTGCCTGACTGAAGCAGACCAAAAGACTGTTAACTGCAGTCAGGCAGACTTATTGGAACATTCTCTCCCAGTGCAGGAAAGCAGGCACATGGCAGAGAACTAGAAATTTGTAAACATCTAAAGGCATAATCACGGGGATAAACGAGCAGGTTTTCGTGTAATCTACTCATATAAGGACATTTCAACAATCAAACTCTCTTGTCTGCTCACTGAAACAGAAATTATGTTTCAAAGCCATATTTTCATAGTGATTACTAATAATCATTAAAATCATGACTAAAGCTATTTAACATTGAAATTCCCAACCTTCATTAAAATTCATACATGATAGGGTCAGAACTCGACCACTTAAAGCAAAGCTGCAGCCACATAGTGCAATTATGCAATCTTGTGTCTGGTGTATCAGTTTGCTAAAGCTACACCCGAAGTTTTCTAATCAAGAAATTGCCTTGTTGAAGCAACAAAGTGTTCATCGAATTGAAAATTCTTGAGAAGTTAGTATAGCAAAATCCTTTAATTGGATCAAAATATTCAACTAATTGTACGATCAATCTTGCACAAGGAAAACGCAAAAAGTGACCAGAATTTAAATAAAAAAAATGAATACTCCATCAATCAACAAAATAGTTTAGAAGCACTTTACTCTATTAAGAAACAATATATGGCAAAAGCAATAAAGGCAACCCGAGCTTTATCCTTGTTCCCCACTTTTCCAGAGGGCATTACCGATAAAACAGTTCGCTGTATTTGGACAACCCGAATCCGTTCGATTCCAATTTATTGTATAATTCTGAAGGGTGTTAGCTCTTTATAAACTGAACTCTTAGAGTTTTTAAGTTGAATTTAGTTAAAAAAACTCATTTCCATTTTGTTTCAGTTGGCTATCAAAGCAGATCAAGATGTTAGAAAGTGTTGTCACCAAAATGACAAAAGTCGTGTGCTTCCATGATGTTACCCCTAGAGTAAACGGGGCTCTTTCCAAAATTTTGATGATTAATATGAAACGATGAACGCTGCCGTATTGACTCAAGAAGCACAAGAAGGTCATCTTCACTTGGAATCAGTTGAACCCTTGGAGAACATGAATAAGGATTTAACTAGCTTGCCGTTGCTTCAGTTGCAGGATCCTAGGCAATACTTCCAGGGGAAAAAAGTCGTTGTACGAGTGTCCAATCTTATAGGTGTTCATATTTTCAAACCTTAAGGATCATAGGTTTTTTGAATGGAACCTTCAAGAAATGATGGAGGTTTGACTGCGCCAACTTCAGCCCCTGACAAAGAAAGAGCTCATTTGCTTTAGGCGCAACATCATGAAAGCACATAGTTTTTGATTCAACATCTTCACCTGCTAGCTGTGATATCAACTGATATGCACCAACTTTAAAACGAATAATAAATAAATACTAATTATCCTAATAAACAGTATATAAATCCCATTTATCAAGATACCCTATTATCTAACTAATACCTAGAGATAATATAGAACATGTTAACTTTGATTAGAAATTGCAGTTGAGTTCAGAAACGTTGTAGACTCAAAACGAATTGTGGACAACAAAATTATACCTGGAAGTACTTAAAGATGTTGCCTCTTCATAGACAATCATAGTATGTGTGTTCCTAGGTAATAAGAAAATCATAGTCCCACCTTACAGAATCTCAAGATGAACCCACCGCATTTACAACACCATAAACTAAGAATTTTTTTATAATTTTTGGTAAAAATCAGAAAATAATATGCCTGCTGCTTCTTCTTCTAAAAAATTTCGGGTTAAAAAGTTGTGCAAATGTTGATTAAAGCACATGCTGAATTATAGTCTAACTTTATGTTGAATATATTGGTTTGTTTATTGATTCATTTATTTGATTTAACTCATTAATTTCTATGCAATACTTAATCACTTTATAACTTCAAAATTGAGTATTTCCACTCTCAATGGGGGCTGCCATGCATGGCTGTGCTTGAATCGTTTTAGAAACTCTAAATTTGATTTAATTTTGGCAGCTGTGTCAGTTAAAACTAGTAATAAGGTACTACTCCTTGAGTGTCACGATCTTGACGTAAACGTGAATCGTATATTATCGAGATAATGACTCAACAATTAGAGTCATAAAATCTCACATCAAATAAAAACTTCGAACTGAAAGTAAGAGTGGATGTCATGATTTTAGAAAAAAAAGTCATGAATCTCACATTGGTTATATATTAGAATAATACTGAGCATATAAGAGTTCACATCACCCTTAATTTATGAAGAGTCTTTTGTGGGATAAAACCAAGAGGACAACAGGTGAAAATAGATAATACCTCAATCCTATGAAACTAGTGGGCTAAATCGAATAATATCTTATAAGGATTGCTATGAACAGTAATACTGAGGCTAGGCCAAGGAGCACGTACGTGGAATGCACTCCAAACTGAAGAAAAGAGCATATAGCAGGAGGCGTACAAAAGGCAACTTAATGCGAACTTCCGCAAGTCTTCTTCATTGCTTTCCTTTTTCTTTAAATTTCCATTTTAATCGAACCTTTTGGTATGCATTTTAGTGTCTTTTCCATAACTATTGGATCGTGCCTTTCACAGGGTTTATTTATATTACTTTTATTTTGGGACAGCGTGCTCATTGTAAAGAAACGAATGCAAGGGTTTGTCGCCCTCAAAACCTTCATGCCATTGCATCTTTTTGCCCTTATACTTTGGACACTGTACGCCCTAAGATTTTATTAATATCACTTTCCCGCCTTTTACTTTCCGCTTATCAGTAGATGACAGGAGTTTGAGCAAGTGGAACAATTCCGTATATCCTGTTTCATGATTGGAATCCAAGATTTATAGCACCTTTTCTATTTCATATTATATATGCAATGGGATTAATTTCAGGATTAGTTGTAAGATCATTAGTTTAGTCTTAATTAAACTCTAGCTAACTAGCTAGCTAGTACCTTTCAATGTGCAATGGAATTCCATGTGAGATTAATATTAAGAAGCTACTAATCACATATCATTGCAGCATCCATGCATGTAATGCTTTGACCTCGAAATCATGGTAAAGATTATTATAACTACTGTTTTAAGAGCATAAAACTACAAATTTGCTTGTAGAACAGCACTCAACATTGTTCTCCACGCCATTATCAGGAAGCCCATAACAATAACTAGAGATAATAATCAAACACTTCCACTAAAAGATATATAGTTCATTTAAGATTAGCCTATCACTGTCCTCTCATCTCTCACAGTCACAGAGATACTTAGATGGAAAAAGGAACACATACCCTCGCCTAACTTTCACGAACATGAAAGTACGTGTACCTAACATTGAACCCAATACTAAAATTTCATACATATAATTTATAAGTCAATTAACCCGACAGATATTTTTCCAAGCTGAAGTAACTAAAGCACTTTAAAATCTTAGAATTAAATCTCTAACCTAACAACTTAAGGAGGAAAAGGAAGAATTAGGAAAGGATAGCATATTCAAATACGTAAGGTGTTAACCTGCCAACTTTTCAACCATTCCATGGAGTACCAACTTGGTTTTTAATATTATCAAAGGATTCACCCAAGATCCCTTGAAGAATTTTGCCTCAGTTTGGAGCCACAAGGAGTTATACATAGGATTCTGTTAGATTGTAATCAGCCACTTGCACAGCAGAGAGATAACAGCTTATCAAAGGGAAAAAAGAAAGGAAGAAAGAATCTTAAGGGGTCCCTTTCGCATATCAACTTTTGATGGGATGGCTAATGATAGGCGATTGAAGACGCCCCGTACAGATACCAAATCTCTAAACAATGGTGTGATAAGAAAGCAATAGTGAATACAACTAATAATGAAAATGACACTGATGAACAAAAGGAGTTGTTATTGCATTGAGGAGTGGCTTACGGGGTGAGAGAAGCGCCCCTGTATTCCAAAACCAGTGCGACTCAGTGGTGTCTTGTTTATCTCTGTTGACTATCTCCATAATTATTAACAGCACCTCGGCAAGTTAATGCGAAACCTTCTACATAATTCTAGAAAAACAAAAAAACAACAGTTATTTGACATGATAATCATTCTTTTTGTTGTGTATAATTTGATTTCTATTGGGGCTTTCTCATTCATTCACCATCAAAGATAGGCACAACAAAGTTTGACCTCAAGGCTAGTCAAATTCAGCAGTTTCTTATATGTGTCGATAAGTGAGACAAGCACCAAATGGAAAATGGAGGAAAAAGAAAGGTCAGGGGCCAGGGGATGGAATAAAAACACATACAGAATAGATACATGACTGACTCCTAACTAGTGGGTGGCTACATTTGTTTTAAGCTGAACACAAGGATTATAGGCTTGAGTTGAGTCTGACTCAAAAAATTTTGGCGTCTCTATCGCTTAGTAAATTGGAACATGATTTTATTAAAAAAAAACTTATAATCTCCATCCTGACAAAGCTTAAATGCCCAGTTGAGTGTTGAATCAACATGAGATATGTATGGCCCTACTAATCTCAGGACTGTAAAGGTTCGCGGCTCCTTCCTGGCTTCTGCTGGACTGGGTCCATCAGGCCATTTCAAGATATGATCATGAAAGGCAATTGCCACGTGGCACTTTCTTTACAGCAGAAGGTGGGTGGATCCTATTTGATAAGAAAGCTTAGTGAACTTCATTAAGTCAGTGGAGTAACCATACGGTTTATAATTCTCCATAAAATAAAAGATAAGAGCCCCTACTATGGTCTAAACCATCAGAATATTCTCAATATAATTCATAACTTCAATAAAAAATATATTTAAAAAAAAAGAAGGGAAAAACCTTATCATAAGACTCGAAATACAAATTCCATCCCTACCTTTCCCTATATATAAATCCCCTTTTACAACTACCTTCAGGAAGTAGTGTTTGAACCTCTGAACTCACCCTGCCTAACTATGTCCATTTCCATATCCACTCAACTTCTTCAACATTTGCTTGGAGAATTCCACTCTAGAAGGTTGCTGCTGCATACCCCAACTTTTGAAACACCAACTACGGCAGCTCCAGCAAGCCCTGAAAGCAACCACAATTCATCAGATCCTCACACCGGTGATAACAGCTTCGATGCAAATGTTGTTATGGTTCT